GCCGTAAGGCTTTTTTCAAAATACTTTTACCCCTAAAATTTCCTCGGGAAGGTGAAAGTTAAATTTTTTCCGTCAAACTTCATTTGGGAACGATGTAAAGTTTTTTTCCTTATTCAAATTAATGTTCTCTATCGAACTGGACTGGAATTTAGGGTTATTAGAGACAGCATAGAGGTTTTTTATTAAATTCATGTCATGAAGTTAAACAAAAACTAGGAAATATATTGAATCAAACAGATTTTTAGTCTATACAACTTCGAATCTCTCATATTACCTAAGCACATCATTAACAAAAGGTGGACATACGATCTATTCTTTTGAGATAAAAGTTCAAGAAATTGATTAAAAGAAGGTACGAATTGACAAACGCATAACACATTAACGGCTAAGAAGCAAAATGATGACAATAACCGACATTTCGTCAGTGGGTCCAATAGAAACGTATAAAGTCGATGCACAAACACCACTTAAGTCAGCTATCGAAAATTTATCGCAAAATGTCCAACTGACCCAGTGGATGGCAGCACCCGCGACTTACGAGTACGCGATAAACGAAATTCGCCAGAAATCGCATCAGGTGCTAATACAGTATTTACCAGATACTCTTTTGTGCCAACTGCAACAATTCAATGAGCGTTCTATACCGCAAATGCTCATTGTCACAGGATTACCGTTTGATGGGCTCCAAGAAACGGAGTTGGCCGAATGTTTTCTATTGGGTCTTTCCTCCATTATGAATATGAAGCCATTCACATACAAGAATGAATATAATGGGCGTTTATTGCATCACGTGAAACCCGATGTGAAACATGAATATTCGAAAATGGGTGTAAATTCCAAGGCAAACCTTGATCTGCACGTGGAAAATGCATTTGATCCTTGCCGACCAGACTGTATGGCTCTTTATTGTCTGACTGGAGATCAAGCGGCCAAGACTACATTGTACTCGGTAACAAAATTACTTTCAAAGATGGATAAAAGTCTGAGCGATCAAATGGAATCCATTGGCAAAAAGAATGAATTTCTGTTTCAACATCCTCAAAGTTTTAGTGCCGGAAAAGCCGATGTCGGAGCACTAATTTTCGAGCTTCCTAAGGGAGAAACCGCTATACGGTTCTCTACACCTCTTAGCGGCCGCAGCGAGGAAGCGGAACGGCTTAAAGAACAGCTTCAGCGTTTTTTCAATACGGAAGAAGGACGTCCAGATGGATACTGTTTGCAGCGTGGTGATTTGCTTATTTGGTCGAATCATACAAACCTGCACGGTCGAACTGCGTATGCGCCTAACTATGAGCCCTCCGCTCAACGATTGCTGGTCCGTATGTTTATGGCGATTGATCACACGCTGCCATTATTAAGAGACTAAATTATTTTGACTTTGAGAACGACATGTATTTTAATGAAGTTTTTGCATATTCAAGATATCGATCATTTTCAAAAATAAATAACACTATATTCCATAAACAATGTTCTTCGTTCTCATCAACAACGTTGTCTATACTAAAATTTTGAGGTTTTGAAAAACTGAGGTTTTTCTGGAAAAGCCTGAATACTTTAAGCAACCAAACAGAAATCCATAATAGAGTTTTGATACTTTAACAGGCAAACAATTCTG